TGTGTGTGTGTGTGTGTGTGTATGTGTGTCTGCGCAGTGGGGCAGTTTAACATTTCTATTTATTGCTCTTTTTTAAAAAATGTGCCTGTTCCCTATTGCTCTGAAAAGAAGTCAAAAAACTACCTTTTCTAATAAGTACATGTGTGTTATGGAAGATGCAATCTAACCTCTCTTAAGCCTGTACCTCAGCATAATCACTGAAGTAGCATATTTCCCTCCAGTGTTTAAAAACTCTTCATGAAAAATTCCACTGACTTGGCTAAAAAAAAGGTGCATTTTTGTTTTTGTCATAAAAACAAATTGGTCATGATTTAGGGACTCGTGTTTGTTGCTCTTGGGTTGAAGGTAATTTTGCAGTGGATTGCTGATTCCTCAGAGCATCTATACATACTTCACGTCTGGGGACTTATTAAACAACATTCATTAAAGCCTCATTTCCTTCATTTTATCCATTTGGAAAGATTACCCTTCCTCCAATTTGAAATAGCGTCTTTCTCACACTGCTCCGACTTTGAGTTACTCCATCAGTGCAGGCCTTCAGGTGTCTTGGCTGCTGCTCTGCCATTTGATTTGCAACACGGGATTTTTCTAGAGAGTTTAATAGTTTTGTTTCCCTTGCCTAGCTGCTGTGGTCACCCATCAATACCTGCTGCAAGTGACACAGAGACTCTAGCCCTGCCATCTTCCTTGAGTCAGAGCCTTCCCTTTCCAGGGAGCGGAGGGTCTTTGTTCCAGGCTGCCACGTGGGGACTCTACTATTCCAAAGAGGAGGAGGAAGAAGGCTGATATTATGCATTTTGCCTTTCACTGCCTTTTGGGCAACAGTCTTGGAATGAAAACACTAAAAACAGATGTAAAAACTGAGAGTGACAGTTGGGATCTCATTAGCTTAGTAGCTGTGACAATATATCTAGGAAAGAAGTTTGTGGGCATGCAGCTGACTGTATCTGAGAAGCTGGAACTGCATGTGTGTGTGTGTGTGTGTCTGTGTGTGTGCGTGTGTGCGTGTGCACACACACGTACATGCCTGTGCTCCTGGAGGTGGGGCACGCATTTCAGGCTTTGCCATATAATTTTCTTGCTTAAGCTTTAAAAAATACTGTCAGTTGGGTGGCAGCAGGCTTGGTTATTTTTCTTTAAGGGCGCTTCTGTAAATATCTTTAAATTTCAGCTTAGGATTTTTAGAGGGACATTCAATGTGAAGAATAAACAGATTATGGCTTTGCTTTCTTTTTTTAAAAAAAGTTACCAAGGCGTGAAATGCACCCAGTAAACTGCCTCCAGTGCACTCTCTTAATTGAACAGCCAGATCAAGATGAGACTATTTTCATGCACCACAGGGTATGGTGCCTCAATTTGATCATTTTGAAAATACGTGAGTTTCCAGTCTTAACATACTGCCTTTCCTTGCCCTCAGCCCAACTTTCAATTCTTGAATCTTCATAGGAGCTTCTGGGATCAAGTCCATCACTTGGTTATAATTTTCAATCAAGAAACGTGAGTCTAGAGCCGAGATGCCTCTGCACCTGTTTTCACCTGTGGCAAAGCTGAGCTTGGCAAACCATGCAATGCTACAGACATCAGAAGGGCCTGAACAAGGGTGCATCTGTGGCCTGAAAGTTCTCAGAGTGGGAACCAGAGGCCTGGGTTCTGGACTCAGTTTTGTCACTAGCCTGCAGAAACCTCGCTGTGATTTCTGAAGTCCTGTCCTCCAATTTGATGGCATTATGATTCTGGTGAAAATAGGGCTCTTCGTGTAAATATAATAAACCCCATGACCTCAGAGTTCAACCAGGAAGCTTATGTGATTCTAGGACCAGACCAGATGTCCTTCTTCTAAAAGGTATTTTACAGCTGTTCACTGGCCTCATTCTGTCTTCCCGGAGGCAGTGGCCAGGGCCCTCAGCAGACCAGATGGAAGCTTGTAGAGCTGTTCATGAGTTCTGCGTTAGGTTTTCAAAATTGTAAAATGTGGATAATAACATTACTTTCTCCATGTGGCTGTTGATGAGACATACTGGGGTCCGGACTGGTGGGGCAGTCATTTTGATTTGATGGTCCTCTCTTGCCTTCCTTTGTTGTTAAATATTTTGGATGTCATCTCTAGCCCCTGAGAGCTTCCAGTGAATGCTGTTTTCTTTCCTGATCTTCCTGCCCTCTGCAATGGCTCAGCAAGCTGTCAACTCTCAAACACAGCATGTTTCATACGGATAAAACCCCCAAGGCCCATTCAGCTACATCACAGTGAGCTGAGCAAGGCCACAGGCTGAAGGAGGCCTGGGAATTTGAAATGCAGTTGCTGTCTAGGTGTGCTCTGCCTTGACTCCTTCCAACTGTACCAATAAAGCTAAAGGAATTCGAAGAGGAAACTGTTGGTCACTGCCTTCCCCACTGCTGCCAAGGTAATTTGGAATTCATGGAGGCTAGAGGCTTTTGAGGTTTGGATAGCTTAAGTCATCTCAGCAAAAACAGTGAAACTTGAAAATCAGATCTGCTTTCAAGCATTTTTTCCCCCTCTGTGTTCTTAAGGAGGGAAATGGAGAGTGGCTCACAGGCCTTGATTTTCTTGAGTAATTGTTTCTCTTCTAAGATACAGTGGAGCTTTGGAAACTGAGCTGATGCTGACTTGCTACCTGTATTGGCCACACCTGGAAGGCTCCAGATGTACTTCCATTTTCCCTCCCCATCTTGCCAAGGCTACCCACTTGCCTGATGCCACCTGAGGACTTACAGCTGCTCTGCTGAGTTAGGCTCTGCTGCCAAGGAACTGTATTCAACCTTGGTAGTAGGATAGCCATCATGGAATCATGGCTTTCTGATGCCATGATAGGGTTGGAGTGGGCTGTATGTGCTGTTGCTCTTCACTTCTGTGCAGATAGGGCCAGGAATGAGACAATAGGGAGTGGTGGTGACTGTGGCAGAGGTGGGTATGCCCCTCATCGAATATTATAAGATTTTCAAGTATGTAATATACTGTTTCTTGGAGAAGTGTATTTAACAATGCCTATAGGAAGATTAGAAAGGTGTGAAGGATGCAGGGGGGGAAGTAACATTGAAATTGAACTCTCACATACGGAAGAACCAACTTTTAGGTACTCTAAGTAACAAAGAAAAGAAGAGAAGCAAAACAAATCCACATCTGCCATTGTATTTAGTTTGGGGCATGGGGCACTTGAGACTTCCAGTAGAGTCTTAAGAGAAAAAGACACATTTATAGAGCACCTATCATGTGCCAGATAATGCCTGCATTGGCATTTTAATAAATATTGTCTCATTCACTTCTCACAGCAATCCTGTAAAGTCGGTCTCTTACTCCTGTTTTTTAAATCAAGAAACTTGGGCACAATGAGGACTTTTTTTTGTTTGTTTGTTTTGTTTCCCAGGCTGGAGTGCAATGGTGTGATCTCAGCTTACTGCAACCTCCACCTCCCAGGTTCAAGTGATTCTTCTGCTTCAGCCTCCCGAGTAGCTGGG